ATGGTTCCTCTCAGGCCTGGCAGGAAGGACTGACAGCTCTGGAGCTTGTGTTAAAATGAACTTGAGTCCAAAAGCTGAGCATGAGGAAGTGCTTCTCCCCTGCCTCGGCAAGCTTAGCCAAGATGTGGTGGTCAGGATTTGGCATGGAAAGGGAAGGGCACAGCTGACCAGATGCATGGACTGAGCTTAGCAGAGTTTTGTGCCAATGGCTGAACAGCAGCTGCACTGCTGGTGCTTAGAGAATGCTTTCAGAGATGGAGATTTCTGAGGAGGGGAGTCTTCACAGCCCTCAGGCCAAAATGCATGTATGGACAGGTGGCTGAGCTCTCTGGCAAGTGAGCTGAGAGTGCTGCTGAGGCCACCAAGCTGCACCTGCAGCTGGCTCTCTCCCCAGCCAGCCTGGCAGGCACAACCCCGAGGTGTGCAGAAAGAACAGAGTTCGAGGCGTTTCAAGGGCTCAGCAGCGCTTGAAGGCTCATTATTATCCCCCCTGGGCTCTGCCCATCCCATTCTGCTCTGCTGCTCATGTGTGGAATGCTCTAACGCTTGGGAGAGGGAGAGTTTGCTCCCTGTCCGTGGGCTCCTGTCGAGGTGTTCGATCAGTCCTCGTCCCTGGGGGCAGCAGCAGCTCTCCTGCAGAGGCACAGCCTGTGCTGCCAAGGTTCGATGGCCCAAATCCCTCCCTTGATATCCAGAGCTGGGGCACTCAATGCTGTGGGAACTCTCTCTCTCGCAAACCTGTGATGGCTTTGCCACAAAGAAACTTGAGTTGTTGTTCCTCTGAGCTCTGTGCAGGGGAACTCTGGGAGCCTCTTCCTCCCCATTGCACCAGGGCAGTGTTTGTCGGGGCTGGAGTTAGAGGCTGCCTCTGCCCTGACAGCTGATACCGTGGAGCTACAGGGGGTCCTAACAGCGTGGGTTTGTCTGAGCTCAACCTTGTGCCTCTTTCAGGTGTCCCTTCAGCAGTTACAGCTGACACGAGGCACACAGGACTACAGTGGGAGCTACACAGGGACCAGGCAGGAGTCCTCCTGTTCCTCAGCAGCTGTGGACAGGGAGCCCAACACTGCTTCTCTGGAGGCACACATGCGAGAGAGGCCTCTGAGCATTGATTTCCCATAGAGGAGCAGCTGCAGCATCACAGGGTTCCTGTCGTGTGTCCTTGCCACACACGTTATGGCCTGCTGTGGGAAATGTTTGTTCTGTTTCTGTTTGGAAGCATCTCTGCAAGACAAGGTTCTTTTATTCTGTAATAAAAACTATCTTCAGGAAAAGATTAGACCCATTTTTCACTGGCTCCATGAGGCCATTGTGAGCTGTTGTGCAATTTCCCCTCTTGGGGCCAGAGCTGTTCTCTGTGCTGAGAAATAGGAATGTGAGGAGTTATCAAAGGAAGGGGTGGAGAGTGCACAGCAAGAATGGAAGGTGGGTGAGAGAGTGGGCTCTTTTTCCCTTTCCCTTTTTCCATCCCCAGGGTGGTGACATCAGTGATGACAAAGGCAGAGACACTGACTTCAGTCCATATCCCATCTGTCTGATTAAGTACCAACATGCAACTGGTGCAGAGATAGTTCTCCCAGGTTAATTTTCCCTCTGTTCCTCCCTCCAATTCTCCAAGGCACAAACATCCAAAACTGTGGGTCTCTTAGGCACAAAGTCACACAGGATCTTTTAGAAGCTCTCAGCTGTCTTGGATGAAGTGTCTCGACACGACCACGTTGTTATCCTTGTGGCACCCCAGGGTCCCACTGCGGGATATGAAGTTTTGCTTCAGCCAGTGTGGAAAACTGTGCAGTCCAGTAACAACAGTTGCACATAGTTTTGTTCCTTTAATGTTGGTGAAGAGGTAAAAACAAGGGGGTGGTAACTTGGAGGGGTTTGGGGTTTCTTTTTTCTATTATGTTTATGGTGGTGTTGTCAGTGGAACCTCTCTAGTGTGGGGCAGGGGCTGTGAGAGGATAACTGGGGCAAACTAGGCAGATGGGAAGAATGTGAGGTCTGAGTGCCAACCCATGGGGGTCACACTGTTGGGATAGGCTATAAAAGGGTCTGGGGTTTGTGGCAAGGTGTGCTCTCTTTCTCCAGGGGCACCCGACTCAGCTGACTCGTTTTGCAAGTAAGTTTCTTTTTGCTTCAATGATTTGGTTTCCTTCTAAAACATATTTGTGAGTGCTGGTTTCTCACACCACCCTCCAGTTCGAGGGGCTCAGGCCCAACGTCAGAGGCCCTGGAGCCCAGTTTGGGGAGCTTGGGCCCCACTTGGCAGAGGGATGAGCACATTCCCAAGCTGGCCCAGGGACCCATGTGCTGCAGTGGCCTCTTGGATCCCCTTTTATGAGCAGCCCTGGAGGGCCGAGGACCACCTGGAGATGCCAAGTCCTGGTTCCACTCCCTCCTTTAGTTGCTGTTGCTCACCAACACCACAAGACTGTCCACCACCACTGTCCCAGGACTTCCACAGGTGCCACCAACCAGCAGGCAGCTCAGCTGAATGGCAGTGCCACAGGGAGATGGTTTTTGGCCAAGAAGAGGTAGATACCTCTCATTTCATCTCCTTACAGCAAAGAAACCCAGAGGACACTGCAATGCAAGGCTCAGCTCAATGCAGCTGGGTAAGAGTGCTATTGAAAACAGCAGCTAATTAGTTAAGTAACACCCAGAGTTATTAATGCTGCAGCTCTGCCACCATCAATGTATGTGTAATAATAGTGTTCCCACTGTAACAGCATTAATCAGCATGGCTTTACTAGGAAATGAAGGGGGAAGGGATATTATCTCCCTTGGGAACACCATTTGACTGCAGCCCTACTTACTGGGAGGATTGTTACTGGTTTAATTCTTAATGAATTGCTCATTAATCTGCTTTCTAACACACCCCTACAAACACCCCTCTGTGAGAGGAAACCACATGACGGTGGAAGCAGCAGAGCCAGGTGAGAGGAGCTTTGGGCACAGCAGCTCCAGGGGACATTGTCTCGAGCCCTGACAGAGAGTCAGCACAGCCACAGGGGTTTTCTCATGGTGTGTGAGGGCAGGAGCACAGTCCTGTCCTGTCTTGCTGGGCAATGTCCACTTCTGGGCCACATCCTCTCCTCAGACAGTTTGTTCATTCTCAGCTCCATGCTCAAAAGGCTCTTTTGGCTTTTCCAGGGGAGCAAGGAATATTCAGCATCTCTTTCTAGCATTTATACCAAACACAGAAAGGTTTCATTGAAACCTGCTTTCCCATAAACCCTTTTCCTTGTAAGACTTCTGCTTCAGGATATTAAACCCAGAGCTGCTTGTTGTACCTGTGTCCATAGATAAATTACAAACAATGCCCTTAGCCCTGTGCTGTCCTGTTTTTTTTGGACCTTGCTAGGAGTGAACATCACCTGCAGGAGGGGATGGTTTGTGATTTGTGGGAGCAGGGGGATGTCACAGGGAGGGACACCCCGAAAGGTGGGTGCAGGTCACAGGCAGATTGAAGGAAGATTTTAAAGGTATTTAAGGTGAAAACTTCAAACAAGACCTTAAAGTCAGGGTGAACAGCTGGAGCTGCAGGGTCACTGTTTCTGCCCATGCTGAGCAGCCACCACGGATTGTGGCTCAGGGCTGGGAAGGGATGGAGAGTGGAGAAGGATAATTAATTGAGCAGAGATCAGGAAGACTGGTGCTAATACCCAGCAACACTGAGGCACTTGGGGAAGATTAGATTGTATTACAAGTGTTTGAAGACATGTGCTGTAGATAAGCCAAGAGAGAAATGATCTGTCTTAGGCAGGGGGACAGGACACACTGCTGGGGAGGGAAGAACAGAGGGGGGTGGCACCTGCCACTGCCTCATGCTGAGGAGGATTGGGAGGGTCCCCCCTGTTCTGCCCTGTGCTGTGGATGAGCAGAGGGTAAGAACACACCTAAAGAGAAAGAAAATGAGCACTGTGTCCAAGTAAACCACAGATGCTGTTTGTCCCCAGCTCTTTGGGTGTAGAACAGGCTAATCTAGGTGCTGGGTTATGATTAATACCACTTGGAAGAGTGTGATTCCTCCATCAGGGCTGGGGGAAAGCAAAGCACAGCATGGATGGGGTGCAGGGAAGAGCACAATGTGGTTCAAACTGAGCTTATTTCAGCCCCAGAGCTACTTACTGCATTCTGACTACCTGAGTTTGGGGCTGAGCACTGGAGTTCTGCTGTTAGAAATGAACTGCCAGGCGCTGCCAACAAGTCATTGATTTTATGAGGTCATTAACCAGTCAGTTGAAACCAGCTTTCCCTTCCAGTGCCATCCTCCTGCCAGGCTCCCATCCATCCATCCATCCATCCATCCCTCCCTCCCAGCTCCACACATCCATCTCAGTGCTCCAGCTCCATTCCCTTGGGCCTGCATCAGGATTTGGGCAGGGTGGAGATGCTCTGGATGACATCAGTGAGAAATTCAGTTGCCTGGCTGCACAAAACCCACATTTTTTGATGGAAATGGGCCATTTTAGCACTTGTGGTGCTGGCAGATGAAAGGCACTGGCTGAGGTTTGGTGGGGCTCAGGCTGGGGTGCTACAGTCCCCAAATGTTGCTGATCCCACCATGGTCCTGACACTGCTTCACTTCTGTGATTTTTTTTCTGTGATTGCTGAACCTCATGCAATTGGCCTTGGCCCATAGATCCAGCTTGTCCAGTTCCCTCTGCAGAGCCTTCCTGCCCTGCAGCAGATCAACACTCCCTCCCAGCTTGGTGCCACCTGAGAACTGACTGAGGGAGCACTCAATCCCTCCATCCACACCACCAATAAAGGCATTAAACAGGGCTGGGCCCAGGACTGAGTCCTGGGGAACACCACTGCTGACCTGTTGATGTGGTGGACCAGAATAAAATCCAAATTTTCCCCAGCTCAGACTAGTTTCATACAGCTAAACTACAGTCACACAACCAAAGCTCAGTGTCTTTAGAGAGTGCATGTCACTCCTGTAGAAAGAGGCCAAACTACAGCCAAATTAAACATCACCCAGAACTGCCAAGAGATGAAAATTAATTGAGATATTTAATACAGTGCAATCCATAGTAGTTTCTTAATTAAAATAATTTTGTGCATGTATCTGAATGGGTTATCAATTATCACAAAAGAAAGCAATAAACATTGTAGTGCTATGTAGAAAAATGTACAACTGAACTTGAATTCTTCCCTACATCCAAGAGAGCTTTTCTCAATGGCAAATCATCCTCAGCAATCCAAATGGGAACAGTGACTACGTCGTGGCAGTGACAAACACAAGGCTGGTCACACATCAGTCAAGGGATATAAATAGAACTGGCAAAGAACTAAAAACCTAAAGCATTCTTGCACCTAAAACACAATAAGAAGCCAATGATGGCTTAGGACTTTTCCTGCTTTGGAAATGCCTTACAAGACTTCTAGACACACTTAGACTTAAAATTACAGAGTGTTTTTCAGCTTAGTTCAATTCAATATGGCCCAAATTGAAGATGAAGATCCAGCAGTGGCAGGAGCACAGTCCAAAAGCTGAAGGGTTTGATTTTGCAAAGACCTTTATACACAATTTCAACCGTATTGACTGCAGGCAATTCCCCCTGTTCCCCCTTCTCTGCTTTGGGCAGACCATGCTATGCAGAAAACAATGCAGTTCCCACTGCTCTGGGTTAAAATTAAAGACATTTTGCTTATGCTTTGCTCCTCAACACAACACATTTGCACCCAGAATAGGTCATCAAAGTCTTTTTTTTTTCAGCCAGTTACTGCTGTGGTTACATGGTTCCTGCCCAAGCTTCCAGCTCTTTCATGTCATCATCCTCTTCTTCCTCTTTCTTCTTGGCTGTAAAACAGGGAAATAAAACAAGTGAGAAGGAATCCTGACAGAGATTCTTTGCAGGAGAGAAACCTCTGTGCCACTGACACAGTAAACGAAGCACTAAATACCAGCAGAGGACCAAGATGACAGAAAACCTTTCCGAACTGAAGGAAAAGCCTTGTGAAAGAGCCTCAGCATGGGCTAAACTTCCTAATATTCCCACTTTTAGTGGAAGAAAAGACAATAGCTCATATGGGAAGAATGCAAATGGGCATGGAGGTTAAGGTGGGACTTTTTTCGCATGACCTCCAAGCAGAAGGAGGCACACCTCCCCCACAGATACATCCTGGTCAAAGGGTAAGAGTTTCTGTGTCTGTAAGAGTTTCTTACAGACATTGATCTTATGTCTCCACTATTAGTCTCTCCCCCAGAAAAAAATTCCTTATTCCAACATTAAGTCCTCAAAATGCAAGAAATGAGGTTACTGTGTCTTGGTCAGACAAGCACAGAATTTGGAGACCTCCAACTCTGGGCCAGTTCAGGCTCTTTGAGGGGCTGAGGAGCTCTGGGAACATCCTAGTGCTCTCCTCAGCCACTCTCCCTGGGAGCTGGGGGGATGTGGATGGCAGGCAGGAGCCTCCACACTGCCTTCTCAGCAGTTTTGGTCCTTTCCAGAGGAGCAAATGCTGCTGTTTGGCCTACCATAACAAGTCCAGTTTCCATTAACTCAGCACAGAAGGTTTTAACCCCAAAATTAGCTGCAGTAATTTTAGAAAATCCCCAAAATAGATGACATTTCCTCAGAGACGTTTTGCTGCAAAGGAGGGGGAAAAGAGTCAAATAGTTCATACTCAAATTGGTTTGTCTTTCCAAGTGTAATGTTTATGCAAGGAGAACTGAGTCAGCTCCAAAGGAAGCTCAAGGCCTCTCATTTGTCCAGGGCTGGAATTTGAGTTTCTATATTAAGCTCTTCCATCTCCATTAAACAAAACCAACTTTTGCCTGAATTTCTCCTGACATCAGTTGAGCACCAGCAAAAAAATTCCTCATCCAGACTGATCAAAGGCAAAATCCAGACAGGTCCTGAGAACTGGAAAAGCAGGAAAGCTCCTGATCATCTGCCAGTCAATGAATAAGGAGGTAACACAGTCAGCTCTACCTCAAAAGACACATTACTTATTCCCAAAAGACACATTCCACATGAACCTGCACTGTTAGGGAAAGTATTCCCCTTGGAAGTCTGACCCATGCTGACCACAAGTAAACCTTTAATCCCACTCTTTATTAAGCCAATTTTAAATACAAAACCAATTCAGCTTGGAAATAAACCCCCACAAAATCCCCACCCACCACCAGCCCAGAATCCCAATTTTTCTTCAGTGCCAACCTTGGAGGAAGTTTTAGTTATGGCATTTAGATATATTAATGGAATTAATGGAATTCTAATTTCCATCCCAAAGCAGCTTACCACAAATCCTATCGAACACTGAGCTGTATACTCATTATTTTTATTCCAACAACATTCCCTATGTTTATAGTCTGGCAGTGGCTGCTGCTTCCCACGTCCATCCGAGCCTGGAAAGGCAGCAGGATAATTACAGCTACACTGACCAACTAGGACTGTTTTCAGCCACTAGTTTTTGGGGCTGTTCTTCCTAAGTTAGCATATAAAACAGAGCCACAAAGGCTACAATTCATCAGCCATTGAGGGAGACTCAACCAAACAGGTTTGGAAAGTTTCCTAGCCCTTTGCTGCTGGCAGAGGTGTTTCAACTCAGCTCTGTTCCATGAGGGATCACTTCTAGTTCATGCAAGAGGGACCAGGCCAGGTTTAACAGCATCTTTGAACTCTTTGTGTAAATACAAACATTTTTTGCCCATTCTCCATGTAAAATCCTCACACTAACTGAAATCCCCTGGATATATGTGCTGTAAGATTGGGATGAGCTGTTTGGTGCTGGCTTGTGGATGTGCAAACCACAGGGGAGGCAACAGCTGTCCCCAGAGAGGAGACTCTGAGGTTAGATCCTTCCAAAAGGCAGAAAACCAGGGATCAAACATTAAATTAAACACCAATTAAACACCATCAAATTAGACAGCAGCAAGGAATCATGGCTCCATGGAGGAATCCAATGCAGCATGGGACTAATGGATGGACTCAGTGATCTTGGAGGTCTTTTCCAACCTGAATGATTCTGTGGGAATTAATTTTAAGACCTGATTTCCTCTCCACTCCCCTTGGTATGTTTTCAAGATTACTTCCTTGTTGGCCAAGCAGCACCTGGAAGGATTCCTTTATCCATACCTCCACTGTACCCTGAGCAACATCCAGGCTGCAGATCAGCTGGGAGAGCTGGAACAGGTAAGAACTGCTCCTGTGACAGTGATGGCTCTTGTGCAAAGCAGGTTCCCCCCATGGAGAAACAGCACTGGGTATGATTTGGGATCAGGAAGCAATTGCAAGCAAGGTGTGTGCTGCCTGCAGCCAGAGCTCCCAAATCCAAGGAGCTGGCAGACAAACCAGCCCACATTTAACAATCCAAGGTGCTGCAGGTGAAGCTCCATCCATACCTGGCTTTGAGGGTATTGATATTGAGGGCACATTTGGTAGTGGGACTGTCTCAGGACCACTGATTTCCAGCAAGTTTTTGTCTAGTTCTTCTTGTTCTAGTTCCTCTAGTTCTGCCATGAGTTCATCCTAGGTTGTGAAAGTGAGAAAAAAGGAAAAGGAAGGAACTTTAAGTCATATGTATTGACAAGTAGATTTAGCTGATCATATTATTAAAGAAAACAGTTTACATGCACAGGACTGGAGCAAACTGAGGGGATAAGGAGTCTGAATTCCTGTCCATGATCTCTTGGAGGGTGTGGAAAGCAGTGAAGGGAAGGAGAAATCAAAGTCCAAACATTCTCAGGTTAGGCCATCCAGAGCATTCCCAGCATAGTCACAGCAGCTGTATGCACTGGTGGGAACAGTGAGTAACAACTTCCAGGACAGATTTCACACCTTAGTACTACACCTAGACACACACAAGGTGCAGATTGTCAAAGAAAGGTCTCATTTCAGTCACAATTCCTGGAGGGATTTAAAAGACTTGTGGATGTGGTGCTTAGGGACATGGTTTAGGGATGGGTTTGGCAGTGCTGGGTTAGGGGTTGGACTCAATAATCTTAAGGCTTTCCAACCCAAAGGATTCCATGACTCACTGATATAAACAGATGGGAATTAAAGCATACCTCATCAAATTCCTCCCCAAATCCTACTGGCTTGGAGATAGCTGTTGAAATCTCATCTGCCAGTTCCTGCTGCTCTGCAATGTCCTGCATTAATTCATCTACTTTATCAATATCCCTGGAAGAGAAAGGAGAGAGTTCAACATTATCAGTCACTTTACCAATCCACACTTTCAGACTGTTCCTTGGCTTCTGCAGAAATGCCACACCCTGGAGACCTTTACAAGTCCATTTCCCAAAATACAATTTGCAGGCAAGTCTGAATTTTATCCCCCTGGTCTCAACACATGTTTTTTTCACTCCTCCCTACCAGCTCAGCTCACAGCAGTTGCAGAGACACCAACAAAGAGGTTCTGTTCTGCACTACTGGCATTAATAATAACTTGCTCTCTTCCCTGATTCAGCATTATTACATCCACAATTTTTGGAGCAAGTACAACGTTCCCATAATGCATTTTTATCTTTCATTATTGCTACATCCACCAACTACATAGCACAGAGAAGTTTTAAGTCTCCCCTTGCTACTAGGTGGATCTGTGAGTGGTGTAGGCAGACACTTGCTTTAGGCTAAACTGCTGCTACTCTGAACTTGGAGAGAGGCCAAAACAAACGGTGGTAAAGTGAGCAGGCATCAATACTTGTTCAATATGAAAATATATCAGGTATTTTAGCTTAAATTAGAGCCTTTTAAACTGAGATTTTGCTACTCTAGCTCCACCTTTATGAACCCAATGGCATTTAGCAGATCAAACAACTGACAAACTAAAGGCCCCATGGAAAGATGCAGTAGGGAGGAACTTACATGTTGTCATGAGCAGCTTTCATGGCTTTAGCAGCAAAGCCCATGTTCTTAAGCACTTCAGTGTTGGTGTTGGCATTCTCAAGGGCTTCCCTCTGGAATTCAATGGTTGATAATGTGCCATCTATCTGTGCCAGCTGCTTCTCATACCTCTTCTTACGCTTCAGGGCCTGAAGAGCAGCTGCACAAGGGAAAGGAGAGGGCTGGTGAGATGTATGCCCCAAACAGCCATTCACAGTTTGTACCGAGTGCCAACCAGCACAGAGAAATATCTGGCAGGTTCTAGTGTTTGTTGTCCACTCTTCTGCCTGCCCAACCCTTGTGTTTTGCTTTCTTCAACAAAGTGGTTTAAAGGGGGCAATGCCTCCTGTCACATGGAGCCAGAAAGTCACTTAAGGATCACATCACTCATAACACACCACAGAGACAACACCACAACAACCAACAGGTTTCAGTATCCAAACTCATCCACTTCGAAACATCCTTGTTCACCAGCACCCTCAATACTCCAAGACACAGCTCCAGTCAGATGAGGTAATGGTGCTAAACCTCTGGGCAGCTGCAGAGAGAAAGAGCTCATTCAAATACGAGAAATGTTCCTTCAACTTTGCTACTTAACGCCGTGAAATACACACTGTAGAAGTATTTCTATAACAACAAACTTTGTGCATGTTTCATGCTCCTACTGGAAGGTGCTGTCCACACAACTCTGAACTGATAGGTATGAGGAGAGAGAAGTCATCACTTAAGGGGGTTTGAGCAATTTGCTGCTTGTAATTTGTACAAGATGGGCTCTTGCCAGAGGAGCCCATCCAGCACAGCACCAGCACAGCTCCACCCCCACAGGATCAGCCCCTGTGGGAGGACTGGTCCAACCTGCTGCACAGCCAAGCTCCTCCCGCTCCCTCACCTCCACCCACCTCAGACAGGTATGCACCCAGCAGGTGACAACAGCCACCAGCCAGCTCTTCCCAGGGCACCTGGACAAACAAGTGCATGTCCATGCCTGAAACACCAACAGCCAACACAGACTACATTTACATGTACTTGTACAAGAGGTGGAAGATGACCCATCCCTGGAAGTGTTCCAGGCCAGACTGGACAGGGCTTGGAGCAAACTGGGCTAGTGGAAGGTGTCCGGGCCCATGGCAGGGGGTGGACTAGGTGGCCTTTAAGGTCCCTTCCAACCATACTGTGATAATCCTGTCTGCAGGAGCTGCAGCATGGGCAAACCCACCAAGCCCTGAGCACTGCTGGCTGATGGACGAGCACCAAGTGTCACATGAAGTAAGACATGAGCACAGCTTCCCTTCGTGGCATTTCCACTTCTGTCCTGCTATGTGCTGACCTGCCCACTGCATGACAGTGCTGGTCATGTAACACACTGTGTACTCTAAAAGCTCAGCTTGGACACAAACTTCTGTCCTGACAGCTTTACCCTCAGGTTCTGAACTCAGCTGCACACACACTTCATTTCCTCAGTACTCTGAGCTCTGTGACTCACCTAGAAAACAGCATGATACAGGATCAGCCCTGCTAAGAATCAGCATCCTGGACTTCCCAACAGCTCAGTCACACACACCAGGAATCATGGCAAGTAAAAGGCTTTAAATCTTTATAGCTGTTCTTTCAAACCTTTGCAGAATTTTTGGAGGGGAGCAGAAAACAAGGAGCAGGGAATGCTGACAGCAGACAGCTTCCCTTAGCTCTCCTGCTAGAGGGCTGATAACTTGGTGATGGGATGAGTATGTTCCTGCACCACACACAAAGCAGTTCTCTCCAAAAAGCTGATGCAGCCTGCAGGCTCCCTGTGTGTTTTGTCACATGCCATCTTGAGATGCTGACAGTCCCTCAAGATATCCAGAAGGTATCCAGAAGAGCTTCAGTTCTACAATTGGTTGTATTTGGTTAATTTCAACTTGCATTAATGTATTAGAGAATAAAAATGCACTTTTTAATTGGAAGGTTGCCAACATGCAAAGAGGAACAGGTTAATTTAGTCGAAGTGATCCAACCACAAAAGCACAGCTCACCTCAGCTGGTCCAACACAAGCCAAGGGCCCAAAAAAGGCTCCTGTACTGCTCTTCACTCCAAAGAGCAGTAAATCTCTCCATTTTGGGGCCAGCCCAATGTCCCCTTTGGTTTGACCTGAGCAGGAACAGGCCTAGGTTTCCAAAGGACAATATTAGCTCTGCACAACACAACTATGTGAAACATTCCAGCTGTTTGCCAGATCATGAACTGATGAGCAGCACGTTCCTGGGATATTTCAGACGGTTCATTTTGTGCTAATGGTTTAATTAAGGACATATAAAGTTTTTTAACTCAGATAAGACTGTTAATAGCTGTGCTTGCATAGTGACAGATGCTGAGGAAGTGTCGGACAGCAACAGGACATTCTCTGTGGAGGATTTTGTGCATCATGGAGAATTACTGGCAAACCCAGAGATTTTAGAGCCAAGCTACAAACCCAAGGAAGCACTACAGCTTAGGTACAGCTCCTCATCACAGCTTCCTCAGGGAATAGCTACAGTTTGACTACAATCCGTGTTGATATAACTTAAACCAAGCTGGTCAGATACCAAACATTGCAAGCACCAGTGTAAAACAGCTTGTGATCAGGAGATTTTATCAGGATAACCCTATTCCCCCTGCTCCCTCCCATAGCACTTGTGCACCACAACTGCACTGCCCTCAAACCTAGCATGGATTGGTGTTATTTTCTACAACACTTCCAACTCTGCCCTGCTCTAGTGAGGCCCTACCTGAAATACTGCATGTGGTTTTGGTGACCCCAACATAGGAAGGACATGGAACTGTTGGAGCAAGTTCAGAGGAGGTAACAAGGCTGAGAGGACTGAAGCACCTTCCCTACGAGGACAGGCTGAGGGAGTTGGGGCTGTTCAGCCTGGAGAGGAGAAGGTTGTGTGGAGACCTCACCAGGAGCTGAAGGGGCACCAGGGAAGCTGCAGAGACACTCTTGGTTAGGAACTGCAGGGACAGGACAAGGAGCAATGGGGAGAAATTGAAACAAGGAAATTTAGATTAGATCTTAGGCAGTTTTCCCTGTGAGGGTGGTGAGACACTGGCACAGGTTGCCCAGGGAGGCTCTGGCTGCCCCAACCCTGGCAGTGTTCACAGCCAGGTTGGAAAAAAAAACCTGCTCTGGTGGGAGGTGTCCCTGCCCAGGGCAGGGGGTTGGGGCTGGATCATCTCTAAACTCCATTCCAATCCCTAAAATTCTATGAATCTATGAACTCCTTCAGATCAAGTGTGACCAAGGAAGGTATTTATAGTCTCCCCTCTCCTTCCTAAGGACAAAGCTCCCCATGGCCACAGTGCCCATCCTGAAGACCAACTGACAGAAATACCTGCTCCAGCAGCCTAAAAGCAATCAGGACTGACAACCCCAGCAAATGAATCCAGGGCCAAGCATAAAGCTTCTGCGACTGGACAGTGCAGCCTGAATATTTAGCACAGGTCAATTAACATCAAAGGATAAATGAGGTTCTGCAATCAAGAAACACAAGACATTGCATTTTCTTTTCACAGGCAGAAGCACTAAGGAATGCAGAGGAAGGTACTCAGTGCCTCTAATCAGATGCATTTTGTTTTGCAGAAATACTTTCAATCGTGTGTTCGTTTCAGACCATTGGAGTTAAGTTGGTTTTCCATCTCTCAGGACTGATTTCCCAATTTTCAGGTATTTCTGGGTGAGCCAAACCACAGCTCAGGGCGCACAAGGGTTAGCTAGAGTAAGGGCTCATCTGAAGGCAAAATTGGGAGCCAAAGGGCTTCTCCAACTGGGCAGAAGGAAGTGTCACAAACTCAAGCAGGACCTGCCCCAGTCTTTGCCAGCACCAGTAAGGCTGTAAATTCCATGTGCTGCTATTATACTGCACAGAGTGACAGAGGTGTAGATCCAAGGAGGTGATTCTGGTCTGATCTACAGCTACTTTATCTCTATAGAAGCATCAATTTCTGAAAACTGATGAGCAGTTGTGCTGCTCTTTTCCTGCAATAGTCTTTACTATCTGCATTAATACCTCCTGAAATCTTATGTACTGCCAAAGCAACACATTTTCACTGGTTTTATTGAAGTCAAAGCTATAAAAACTTAATCTGAAGAGAATTATTGTCTTTTTTTTCCTCAAAAAAAAACCAACAAAAAAACCAATTCCCAGACTTTGAAATAAATATGAAGCAGAGACAGGAGGCTACAAGTCTGTCCTGTGGCACTGTGCACATGCTAGAACTGGATGTGTGTTTGAAGTCAGTGTAACATGACCTATCATTGCTCTTCACAAAGGCTGATACCATATCAGGCAGCACGGGAAGGGGCAGTCCCCAGGCCCCACACCCCTAATTATGCCTTTACTGCTTCTAAGATAGCAATTATATAGGCAGGCAATGCAATTTATCTCCAGCTTTAATTGCTGGGGAACTGCTTC